GGTATAGGCATGCAAGCCCCACAGAACTAACCTGGGGATAAGCACCCATGTCTCAAACTACCTGGGCATGGGTGGAGTGTCCCCAAAAGGGGTGCAAACTAGAGACTCTATAGTTGGTCGTGTTTTAAATTGTATTGGGTTTTTTCCTTTGTTTTCTATAATAAATATGTCCTTTGTGTTTACACTGCTTGCAAGGAGGGGGGTTGGTTTATGCAGGGCACCTCAGCCAAATTCAGTGATCCCAGATTTTCTGGGTTGGGGCTCAAGTCACAGTGAAAACTTACCAGGTACCCCAAAATTCAAACCTGGCCCTGGTTGCTGCTGACTGGTGCCCAGAAAAAGGGCAATCCTGTGATGTGGGTATGGGCAATTCTGTTCTATAATCTGACTTCTTCTTATGAACTGGGATTTGACTGCGACTCTGGCCACTTAAGTGGATTTCTAATTAATGATGAAAAACTGGTAATGCACAAGATGCAGTAGGGCAAAGAACATAATCGACTATGAGTTCTAGATAAACCAGGTCCAATAAAAATTAGGTATGTTTTTTTCCCCAATAATGAACCTCAAAGAATGCTACTCTTCATATCATATTTGGAGTATTGGTTTTGAGTATATACATACCAAAAGGATATACTAAAAAATAGGAAGTGAAAAAGAGTTCCAATGCAGGACCAGTCCTTGTAACCTTTCTTTCTTGATTTCAGCAGAGACTATTTGTAGGAGAAAGTGCAGGCTTAAATTCCCAATTGTCTATATATTTTCTTCTAGCATCTCTCTGAGTTTATTCCACTGTATATACTTCTCCTCAGCAATTTCCAAGTTTTTTTCTCCTTTCCATTCCCTCTCTGTGGCTTGATAGTAGAACAAAACAGGGTGGCATGTGTTTTACATTTAAATGGCATAAACATTGAGTTTAATATGCATGAAAGTGAAGAGCTAATATAACTGATTTAAAGCAGACATAGCACAAATCAACATTTGTAACATTCCATATTTGTTATTTTGCCACAGCACATCCACCTTTATGCACACTGCTATTTTAGTTCAATCCAGTTTTTCAGCACAGTAGGTTACAACTGTATCAACCTGTCTGAGGGTATAGTGATGTGGACAAATTGGGATTACAATGAAACTATCAGCCTAAATTAAATTTATGATTGGTAACCTAATTTTCAGTGTTAGGCACTAACAGAGCATGTCAGCTAGTATATGAATTGAACAATGTGTGTCTGTATTTGTGAAGTTACAGCAAACAGCTAACCAATTTTGTCGGGAGCATATTTACTCCCAGCCAATAAAGGATATTATTGAAGATTCTGTATCCTACAATAGGTTGACTAGTGTCTGTCTTGTAGCATTCACTGCAAAATTCACCAAGTAAGCGTTAGTTACACCAGGGCCTGATGTCTATAGTTGTAGTTATATCATATTGTAAGAATTTGTAATTTATGTATTTTCAAATTCCATATAATTTCTCATAAAGATCTCTTCATCCTTTTTGACTGAGAAGGGCAGGGGGGCAGGGAGGATTGAACTACATGTTTCTCTCCTGGCTGATCTGGGAGCTATTTGGATCTTCAGTTTCATGCTGCTACTTGAGAATGCTGTGTGCATCAGCAGAAGCACTGGGGCACTCTGCAGATTCAGGGAGAAAGAGATTGCTTCCTAAGCTCGCATGTGGAAGGTTGTCTGAACAACCAGGAAAACTAAGAGGTATTTTCTTTTGGTTTTTATTTTGAAATACAAACTGAATAGTCTGAAATACTTGACAGCCTAGTCTGTCAGCTTGCCAGGGAACTGGAAACATTCAGATCTGTTGTAGTCTTTCTGCGCTCCATGCAATGGGAATTGCTCTATTATATTTCTGTAGGCAAAAAACAAGTGAAAACTAGGAGCCGGCATTTTATGAGGGGCACCTCAGTGCAAACAAGCTTGAGAATCACGTAGATGTTGGTATCAACATGCCCTTTTCCAGGTTTGTTCATTGTACCCCTTTCTTCCTAGCAAGGGAGAATCCAAGTACCTTACCCCCTCCCAGAGGGAAAGTGACTATATCACACTCTTTTGTAGAGCACAAGCCCTAACTGTACATAAAATACCTTTTAAATAACAATGTGCAAAGTACTGGAGCATGGTGCGTCTAACCAGGTGGTTTCCTGCCATAATTTTATAGCCAAGTCATATATTAAAAATACTGCAGGGATTTTGATTTTCACAGAAACCACTATTCAATATGCATGCCAAACATTTCTAATGTTCACAGAAACAACTGAAAACTGTGCAGCTGTATACAACTTTGAACATGACTGTGTCACTGAAATGTGAGAAAGGGACTGTTTTGCAATCAGAAGGTAGTCAAGGCAACCCACAAAGCATATTAAGTTGTTAACTAGGGATTTCGCTCTTCCATGCAACAAAATCAGCAGCATATTAAGAGGGTTACTCCCAGATATTGATCTGAATTTAAGTGAAAAACAACAGCACCCACAAAAAAACAATGGCAGTTTTTAAAATTGGAGGGGGAAAGAGCTGCAAACAATAGTTTTCATGACAAAATTTCAATTCCAAAATCAGAGAGTTACAGGCAAAGCCCAGGTTAAATCAGGAGGGAGACAATTTATGTTCCATTATATTCCCTTTATCCAGTGAAAAAGTAACACACTCCGATTCAGGCTGGCACAAAGGAATCCAATAAACAGAAAATCTGAAAAAAAAAGTGATTATGCAAGCCCCAACAATTTTTACAGGGGGGTGAAGAGAATATGTTCTTTTAAACATATATTTTTAATAACTTTCTAATGTAGCAATACAAAAAAAGAGATTTAAAAATTTTAGGGGCTGTGTTTAGTAACTTAGAGGATTTTTAAACAGTCAAGAATTCTTTACAGTAAGTTCATAAAAGGAGTTAGAAAAATGCTAATGTAGGAATCTACCAATTGTGATTTCTTACTTTTCACCATACTTTCAAAGTAAAACAGCTCTTTTTGTTAGAGCTGACAAACCTTTCTAGTAACTCTGTTCCTTTGTGTAGTGTGTGTAGTGACAAACCAAATCAATAGGCATTACAGTACACAATGTGCCCAAAGATCCCTTGTCAAAGTCATTATTTATAACTGCTTACATTAGTCTAATATATGCATGGAGGGGGAGAGAAAAGTGGGGTAAAAGTTTAAAGTTTTAAAATATTAGAAGTACAGAAGAAGTAATATTTTTGAACAACTGTTTCCTTTCTAGTTCTGTGTCTTAGTTTAGACTGAAGTCCAATACTTTAACCGTGACCCTACCGGTATGCACATACAGCATAAACAAATACTTTTCCATGAGACGAATGATGCTTACTTCAGCATAGCGAGAAAAGCAGCAGGCTCAACATCTGGTATACGGATTTCATCTTTGTCCTCAGCAAGCTCTCCATAAAACATTGCATGGAATACAGAGCTCCCAACAGCTAAGACGTACTGTTGAGAAAGGGAAATCTTATTTCATGCTTTAAACTGTAAGCATTGCCATCAAAAACAATGTGGGAGAGCACTACGGACATACTAAGCTACACGGACGTTGATGCTGTTGTATGAGAATGAAGGCAAATTTGGTAACAAAATTACATCATTTACCTCCTAGAAATGCATGTACTGTGTTTAAGAAAGCAGTAAAGAATTTCTGAACCTTACTACTTCTAAAAAAAATCTTCACAATGATATCCTTAAAAGAAGTAGTCAAAACAGTTTTCCTAACTTTACACAGAGCATCTTTTATCATAAGCCCCAATGCTGAACTGGAAACATAAAGGAAGGTAACAACTGAAATATGTCATTGGACAGAGCCATTTAAAATACAGACTTGGGTGCGTCACTGATTCCGAGTCTCCCACGCTATATTACAATGCGCCACTTAGAGTTTCTCTTGCTATTCCCACATCTAAACTGATAATGCAGCTGTTGCTTACTTTGTGTCCTGGCAACCGCTGGGTCGCACCTGGTGGTCCAACCACGAAATGAACATCTGCCATCAAGTCATTGTTGAACATCACTGCATTTCTACAAACAGAAGCAATGTGTTAATTTATGGTATCTGACATCCTACTTCTGCCCAGGCCCATGAGACTGAATTTTGTTACACCTTCAAGTTGCATTTTAGCTGTAAGAAAAGAACAGCACACAAATTAGAGGAAAAAATAAAAATAAAAAAGACCCACACAAGTATGAGCACTCTGGAAATTATCACACAAATATACTGGGGATAAAAGGGGCAAGAGAAACTTTGAAAACTTTTCAAAAAGTGGAGATCAAGATCAAGGGCATATATTACTGAAACAAGAATCACTCAAGAGGGAATGCAAATACCTATCAGTTTAAAGTACTGTAGCTTGCTACAGCAATTTTATCTACTTCAAAAAAACAGCTGCTCTGCCTGGAAAAAGAGACTAAACATTTTTCCATTACTTGCATTACAACTACTTGCTTAGGGAAAAGGAGAATCATGTTTTATTCAAACGTATGAAGCTGAGAAACTAAATATTATAAACAAATTTTACAGCCATTCACCGCTGCATATAAGCCTTGAAAAAAAGCTGTCCTGAGCTTACCTCTCTCTGATGGTGGGATAGAGCCCTTGCCAGTTGGGGGCTGGAATAGTGTTGTTGTTGTTGAGGTTCTGCTGGTGGTATTGCTGGACAGCAGTTGTGTTAGTGTTGGCTGGTTTCTTTCGGGGAAAAATATCAGCAGCCATCTTCTTCTTCTTTTTGGTCTTCAAAGTAATGATTTCATAGCAAACTGGAGGTAACTTGCTGCTACTACTGCTGCTACTGCTGCTGTTGCTGCTGCTGCTGCTATTTCCCTTCTTAGAGCTTTTCTTGGACCTGTTCTTCACTGTCTCTGGAAGCATCAAGAAGAAGGTAAGACATTTCATGTTCTTCCCCTTATCATCTACCATGAGTATCCTTGTCTGAATAGCTAGATAGCCTAACTAAATAAGAACATTAAGAAAATTTAAGAGGGAACTAGGATGTTAAATAAAAAGCAGCAAAGCTCAGATTTTGCTTCTTTTTCAGCAAGACAAGGTGACCTTTTCAGTGCACTGAATACAAAAAAAAGGCTTTAAGTTTGATCCAGTACTTGATTTGTTAAATACATCCCCATCCTTACTGCCAGTGTTACTTGCTTGCAAGCTCTTTTCCAAATTTCCTGAAACTGGATCACTTGAAAGTGCTGCCCTGTGCAAAGAGAGGATGCCTCTAGCTATATAGCACTGGCTTTTTGAGTCAGGTTAGCAAGATGTGCTGTAGCACTGCTAGTCTGTTCAGCTGGCTGAACTTGTGTGTTGAATGGATCTGAACGGAGTAGGTATTACAGCCCTGCAGATGGAGTCAGACAGCCAGCGTTCTGAGCCAATAGCTGAAGTCACCGATAACGATTGGACCCAGCAGCACAGTGACACCTATTGTAATGTGCATCACTCTAAGATTAAAGGGACAGCAGTTGCACTCTTCATTTAACATGTAGCGTTAAGTAATAAGGGAAATTGCACGCAGTTATGCAAGTGCTTGAGAAGCCAGCAACGTGTGCACACTATGGATCTTTTCTCTCACTGGTCATCTTTGATGCTATTCAAATTTCCACAGGGGAATAAAAACAGCACCGTTACATAAGAAGGATTAATAGATCTTTAATATAACATTTCCGATTAGAGACATTTCCCCAAGGAATAGATATAACAAAGAAAACTACTGCATGCTTCTGTAGCATTCTAACAACCACTGCTATAAAATTAGTTATTAAACACCGAATGTTATGAAAATCAAGAACTCAATTTCAAGCAAATTAGCTGCCAACATAAAAGAGAATGATGCAGATAAAGATTCTCTCTCAGTGCAGTTTATACTCTGGTGTAACGTGAAGAGAGATGAGGTCACAGATTTCCTTTTTAACTCCTTATGCTTCTAGTTAATATAACCATCTTTAACAGGGTCCCAAAACACTAAACTGTGCTAATTAGGGCACTTTACACCAGACACCATTGCACTGCCTCAAAAGAAAACTTCTAGATATGCAAATCAGATTCAAGCAAATCAGACTGCATACATTTAATCAATGTTTCAAAGCTTTAGATGAAAAAGTCTGCATCACTTAAGGAGTCTCAGTTAAAATCATAGTTTGAGATATGAATAAATGTAGATTTCATTAATAAACACATTTGAAATAACAGGGTATGAGATAGTTAAGCCAACCAATTTTAATATGAAAGAAATGTACTTCAGAGTCATAATCTCACTGAAGAATTTAAATATAGAGTAGAGCTGCTGTGGTGTTTAGCTGTGCCTCTAAAAACTTGGCAGGATTAACTATTTGGTTTTTTGGTTTTTTTGTTTTTTAAATACATGGACCCAAAAATATCAGTTATTAAATCAACATTTCTCAGTATCATTTTTTCTTGTTACTCACCACTCAAAGGCAATTTCATAATTTTCTTTAAATTTCACAAAAAAACAACTCTTTGCTTTCAGAATAAATCTTATAACATTCAGGTCAAAACAATTTTCCTGTCAAAAGTACACCAGTGAAAAGGAGGCTAAAAGAGGGGGTATAAGCCTGAACCCAACAAAGTCAGTGAAAGTCCTGCTATCAATTTAAGTGGAGCCAAGATTTCACCCAGAGTAGTCAATGGAAAATGACTGCAACTCAGTTGCTGGAAGTCATGGCCATGGCTCCATAAGAAGCAAAGTTCATTAATGACAAGAACTAGCTGCAGGCATTTCAAAGATTATGCACTCTTCCTGAAAATGAAGCAAGTTAAATGGATCCACCTGGGGAGTTGGTAGTGGGATTTAAATTCCCATCTTAGCCGAGTGAATTTACAAGTGAATGTACGTGGCACTTTGTAGCTTAAAAGCGCTGTACAGACACTGAGAAACAACTTACACAACCTCAAATGGCAGATATTTCCTTAGCAATATGGTTACAGTCTGCCACAGATGGAAGGCTGGCAATATCAAAATTTAGGAGGGGAGCTGACAGCCTAGGTCATTTTAGTCTTTAGAAAAAGAAATACATTCTACAGAAATTTCTCACTGTAACACAGCTCTAGGGAACGTGTAAAATGAGAAAAAGGGATAGGGCATCCCCAGGATTTTTTTGGCAAAATGAATTATTCTCTTTTCCCTCCCCCTCCTAGCCCCTCTGAATGAGCTTCACAACCCTTCTGGCTGTGAGGATAACCTCCCTGAGCGTGCCTGAAAAAGTCATTTCACAAGAATAACGCTTCAGAAGTTTTACAGATACAACCCCCATGACTGTTTTATTAGATATCTGAATGATCTGATCTTCAAAATGAGTTTGGCAGAAAAGGCAAAAAAACAACAGTACTCTAGGGGGGTGGGGTGGAAATTGGATTTTAAAAAGACTGGGCGTGAAAAATCCATTTTTTAACACTATGTAAATATAGAACAATACTACACTTAGGATTGTCATGCCTTTTTTCAAATAGGTTCCTAAGGAAAAAAAAAATCTACAACAATCTCCCAATTATTTCCAATAGATTTTGGTGGCCCTATCCTGGAACCGCCTCTGGATTTCTGAAGAAACATAGTTCTGGTTAACTCAGTGTAGGAAAGGGTAATATTAAATGCAACCATTTAATATTATATATTAAATATATAATATATTTAATATATAATATATTATATTTAATATAAAATATATTATATATAATATCAGCAGTTGACCAGACCTTGACCTTCTGAAAAAATACTCTCCTGTACTTTCTTGGGGAAAGAAATGAACAAAAACCATCATCAGCTGCTGCAGCATATGCAAAATCAGAGAAAAAACTTGATTGACAAGAAGATGGCATCTGGATGATAGGATAAAGAGCTACCTACACTATACCCAAAATGAACCTAAATGCCACTGTTTTGACTGATTTCCTGCCACACAGGAAAAAAAAGAAATCTACACTGTGATGAGAAGATTTTCTGCAGAACTGATGCTACAAGGCTCCAAAGAGCATCCTGTGATGGATTATCGACCTATGACGTTTCTTTGTTTTTAACTATCTTCCATTAAACCTGCTGAAGTTGCTGTAACATATAAAAGCATATAATGATGGTCAACCTTGTGTGAGGAAAGAAAACCATTAGGAAGCTATGAATAAGATTAGTTGACCATAGGATGGGGAAAGCTCGGAAATTTCAATTAGGGGCTTACAATCATTTGACTTAAAAGATGCCATGGGAATAGAAGCAATATGTATTCTGTCTATGCGCGGAAACAGAGAGAGTGCACGAGCTACTAAGGTAAAATCAGTAGTGCTATACATAATGCTGACTGTTATTTCTGCTCCTGTGGCAGCTTTAGACCATGTTCTTCTACACAGCTGTACTCTTCTAGTGCACATACATTGTTAATGACTTTACACTTTAGTGTTTCAATATAATTAGTACAAGTTTCCCATAAACTGATTTAGTCAAGACCATAACAGATCAGCCTGCACCTGATGAAAACACCTAGCAAATGGATTACCTTGCAGTCTTTTTTCCGAAAGCGTTTATGATGATTTTCTAATGCCCTATAAGGTTTAATTTCTTCTTTCATTCTCAAATTCACATTATGAGAACTAAAGGTTTCTTTATTTTCAAAAGACCAAAGGAGAAATAATTTCTTTGCAGAAACAATTAGCTGCTGCAGGAGCAACCATTAACATTTTAACTTGAAAGATGTTGGAAGTTCCCAACTCAGTTCCTAAAATTTGGGCAATCTGAAAATCCAAACCACCAGATACGAAGAATTAAGGAACAGAATACAACTATATGGTCTCGTATGCCACATACACACCAGTTCTTAAACAAATTGGCTGCTGGAAATTGGGGTGCATGTGATAAGTGGGGAAGTATGGTAATGCTGGGCTGTGGCTGGAGCTGGCTTTGCCCACTCTGCCTAGCTGCAGCTGTACTGGCTCCTTAGGGGCTGCCATTCTGGGACCCCCTTTAAACTGGCATCCAAGGCTGGTGCCCCTCTCCCCTCCCCACCCCCCAATTAAGCTACTACAGGGCTCCCTAACTGCTAGCCGTGGGTTCCAGAAGTCCTGCATACTCGCTGCACTGCCCCTGTGAAGCAGGGTTAGTTTCCCTTTCCTCCCGCTCCTGCTGCAGAAGTTGCTACTGACTCAGCAGCAGCTTCTGCCCCAGCAGCAGCTTGAGGGTGCCCTGGGACTCCACTTTGCTGTATATCCTTGCTTGCCAGGAGCATAAACGCGGGTAGCCACAGTAGGAGGGAGCAACCAACTGTGGGTTGCTCCATTAACCTCCTAGGGAAACAAGGCGGGGTGGAGGAAAGGGAAAATAACCCTGTACATACGGAATCAGAGACAACCTCAAGCTGCTATTGGGCCAAGGCCTGCTGCTGCAAGAGCTGCTGTTGAACAAAAAAATTGTCCACAGGCAGCCAGTAGCTAAGGAGTTAATGGAGCAGTCCATTGTTGTGGCTCCCTTCTACTGCAGCTGCCTGTGTTTATGCTGCTGGCAAAAAAACAAACAAACAAAGTGTTTTCTTCTTCACTCTGCCTTTTGAAAACAGGGTCTTATCTGGGGGGAGGGTGGTATGTGAGCGAATATGGTACTCCAGGGCTGGGATATCTGCTTCATTCTCATGTAGACAGTTAAAAGCAAGTTATGAGATGTATGGAAACCAGCATCTGGCCAAAAGTTAAAGAAACTCTGGGGCTAAGGACAGAAGTTACACACAGATTGGTTTAAGTGATCAGAAACTGGTTTAAACCTGTAACAGAACACGTTCAATGCACATCAACCAGTTTCAAAATCGCTGCAACTGATTTAAGATAAACCTGGCTGAATGCAGTATCAGACTTAACTGTTTTGGGTCAAACCAGTTTATGAAACTTCTGTCCCAGACCCCTTCCTGATTCAAGTTAAACCAGAGTCCTCCAGCATCCCAACATGCTTTTCAGCCCTGGTCTGAGCTGTGCTGTCTGATCCAGCAGAGAAGGGCTGGGGGACAGGAGAGGCAGGGACTGCTCCCTGCCCCGCCCCAGGCAAACCCTGGCTGGGATCTGGGGCCAGGGATGGGGGTTAAACTCCCCTGCCTCTGAGTATAGAGCTCCCCTGCTAAGCTTACTGGAAGTTACTGCTGGCAGCCACTGTGGACTACAAATCCCAGTGACCCCTGGAAGAAGTGATAAGTAACCCTGCAGACTCCTGCTGTTGTGATTGTGAACTGCAAATCCCAGAGACCTTGGGGGCAGCAAGAAGCAACGAACACACAGCCCATGCTGGTTACATGCCAGAGAGCCATGCTCTAGCACCCCCCTGGCTTCTGGCTGCATGTGGCTGCACTTCCTGAATCAAATGTAGATGTGTGTCCAGTTGTTTCTCAGTTTAAATACTGCATTTTAGACTAATCTATAAAGACTGAATTGGTTCAGCCTTGGGCTTTTTGACCATCTGTACTTAGCCCTACAGTCTATTGTGGTTTTAAATCCAAACTTAAACAATGCATGTGGAATGCTGTTTCTAATTACCTTTTAAACCTGTTGTGAAGGATGCCATAAGGGGCATACTAGAGTGTAAATGTTAACACAATGTAAACTCTGTTGATGCCAGTATAAATACACCAACAACTCATTCACAAATTATTTATTTTCAGGGATCAATGAAGGTATTTTCCAATAATGCCTAAGTCTTTTCATGGTATGGCAGGAAACATAACCAAGATTTCTATAACTGTCTCTTAGTATGCCATGTTTTGTTTTCTTCCCTAATTATATATCAGTACCATGGAACAAACACTCCCACAAAAACTAAGATCTCATCAGAATTCCTAATTGTCCAACATTACCAGATCTTATTTACTGGAAAGTTATTCCAAGTGAGTTAGAAAAAAAACATACTTCTCATCTGCTACATTGCCAACTCACTCTCATTTGGTGTGGCAGTTTTTTAATTAATTTTTGTTTAAATTTTAGATTTCCCTTCATAGACTG